TATATGACCCTCATGGATAACTGTTTTATTTGTGAGGGTGGGGGTAGGGGGTGGACGAGGCTGTAAGCAAGTGGTCTGATACCTAAAAATGGTGGGAAATTTGATAATATCCGTGGTGATCATCGTCGACTTTGGCGACCGACAGGTTCACAGTGCATTTTATACACGTATATAATTTACAAAATTAAACAGTCTAAATCTCTGCATCTGACCATAAGCAACCCTCGATGTCATGGTAATATATGCGAAATTGTATTAGGCGGATGTAAATGGACCAAAAGACAATAATTAACCAATAGAATAATTAATAACTGTGAATCTGAGAGTATATAATTAATAGAATGTGCACTTTAGGGTAGACACCAGGTAGATTCTAAGAATGGGGAGATATCATTGTGTTCCGGAGAGATTACCATCTGAGTTCCTAGCCCATCTGATGTAGCGATTTCCTGAGTCATGCTAAGAGAAAGACGTTAATATTAAGTATGCTAATGTAATCTATTATGCATTGTAACCTATGCTTGTAATCTACGTAACTCAGTGTTTTACATAAAATGCGGAAACGAACTGTTGCATTGTCATTCCAGGTGTGGCAAACGTCTTAATTACTGAGAAAATTACTGGCTTTCCACATCTTTAGCGCTGCATAGTGCTACGTATATCTTCGATTTTAAATAGATTAGAACGGTTGGTATACAAGCCAAAATGCAAGTCGAAAATAAGAAATTAGGAAAAAACGAGGGGCGCTATTATCGCTGTGTGTTATTTCTTAATTTCCTATTTTCGAGTTGCATTTTGTCTTGGTATGCGTGTTGGCGCCTTCTTACTGACATCAATAAATACAAAAATATGACTAAGTCGAAAGTCGACAAGACGGTATACAAGTCGTAACTTCTACTTTTCGACTTTCGCGTTGTGAAGAGGCGAAAAGTAGAAATTATGAATGGTAGTTACAGGCTTCCATAGTCTACGTTTGACTTGTTTGTAGGTAAAAATCATTTCCTGTTTAGTGCAAATGGGTATTAAAATAAGTAAAATCCACCATTTAGCCCGAATCAGTAACGTCTTATGTAAACAATGCACGCGCTATTGAGCCAATGATTGACGCCGCGTGATGTGACGTCACGTGTTGAAACAGTCATCTGTTAAAGAGATATTAAAAGATCTATGTGAAACAGATTGGTAGGGTGGGTCTGTCGTTCAGATTGATACTAACGGTTCAAATTGTTTAAAGACTTCAGACAGATAAGTGGGGCTTAGATTATTCTTTACTTTATATAAACAAATTAATTTGTGTTTTTATTCTGCGATTAGACAATGATCCCCAACCAAGCTCTTTGTATAAATAAATTGTCTTCTAAGGCCAGTTATTATTCTACCTGCTTCAGTTTGAACACTTTCAAATAGACCAGAATCCTTCTTTGAACAGTTATCCCATACAATATCGGCATATTCTAAAATAGGGCGAATAAACGCAAGATATATTTTATTAAGTGAAATTCCATTAATTTTATATTTCAGTATACGCAAAATATTCAGTCGACCACATGCTTTCTAATATATATTTGAAATGTGTTTTGACCATAATGCATTAGACTGAAATGTTAATTCCAAATGACAATGAGTAGTTACGTTTTCAACTTTTGTATTTTCAAAAATAACGTCAGGATCGATTGTATTTTTCCCAGTAAAAATAATATTTTTGTTTTTATTAGGGTTAATAGTTACACACAACTCTTTAGCCCACGATGAGATAATATTCATATCTTCAGTTATAGATTTCGCGCTACTTAGAAGGTCATTATGGATAATGGTAAAAAGTGAAGTATCATCGGCGAATAGTCGGATGTTGTTAGTAATATTATCGGAGATATCATTTAAATATATTAAAAATAGGAAAGGGCCCAGTACACTTCCTTGGGGGACTCCAGAATCAGTATGCAAATAGTTTGATTTGAAACCCTCTTAAACTACGCATTGTTGCCTATTACTTAAATAGTTTTTTAATCCATTTACATAATATTTTATTAATTCCATATTCTTTTTCCCACGTTTTTTTTTTCAATCCGTAGTGATGACACCAAACATCAATCAGTTGGATCTCCTTTCGAACCTGTTTTCATTATGACAAAGTGAGATTACCCGCCCTCTCTTCTCATAACACCGATTTTTAAAAACTGGGTTATAAAGTGACTTTTTAAAATATACAAGAACTCTTTTTTTGTGTGTTTTTACCTATTTTCTTTTTTTATATATATTACGCCTTCGTATGTAGATAGCTTAATTAAATCAACCTGTCCATAATATCATATTAAAATGTATTTGACGTTAAATTTGTAATAAACAACAATCTATCTTCTATACTAATATTTGTGACTGTCGTTTGTCTGTCTGTCTGTTCGGGGTTGGCGGCTACACTAGGTCTGCCCCGAGTCCGAAATTTGGGGTATAGGGGTAGCTCGGACCGGGGAGTAACATAGGCCAGGTGGCGTTAGTCTACCACTTCCGGTTTCGGAGTTATGACCCCCGAGCGAAGCCGGTCTGTTCGGGGTTGGCGGCTACACTAGGTCTACCCCGAGTCTGAAATTTGGGGTATAGGGGTAGCTCGGACCGGGCAGTAACATAGGCCAGGTGGCGTTAGTCTACCACTTCCGGTTTCGGAGTTATACATTGGAATGCACGTAAAAGATCCCTTGGCAGTTGGAATTTGATATAAGAGTAGGCGATAGTGCCGCTGCCCGGGCAAAATTTCCCTCATAGCACACTGTATGGCGTATGCCCGTCTTCATTAGCCCAGCATAGGAGCAGAACAGTAGGACATTAAACCCCATTTCATTTCATTTCATTTTAAAATGTCACCAGCTCTATCACATATGTGATAATGACTGACACCAATATTGTCCTTTAACTTGCTGGAGATTAATCGAATTTCATTTAACACTAAAACGGTAAAGTCCAAGGAAACAAAATATATTTAGAAAACTGAAATTTGTGACAATAGATAAAAACAAATGTAGATAAGAGAAATTAAGAAATATATTATGACAAAATGGTGTCAAAAATAACCTCAAAAGACAAAAAACTTTTACTAAATACATAACATTTTTTTTACCTTGATTTCGTTTTATATAATATATTATTCAACATTTACACAAACGACCACGAATATATAAAATGAAATTGACTAACACATTATTGTAGGCTTTTTGTAATTCTACAGTTACACATAATATAGACCACCCTTATTATTCAGTGCATGTATTCTCAAATAATATAGCAGAAACTACATGAAATATTGACTTACAATAATATATACATAGATATTACCAGTATAAACAAAACTTTAAGCATGACTACCCATGAAAATTTAGTGAATAAAAAATAATGAAATATTGTCAGTTTACTTATATTGCCATCTAAATATTATATTTACTCCTATAAGGGATTAAAGAAAATATTTCAAATACCAAAACTAATATTTCATACATACAATCGAAAACTAAAATAATATATAAAATAATGTCGTTAGAAATTAATTAATATTTTCCCCCATCAATATTTAATTATATCAAAAAGCTTCACTAATGTTGTTGTTTTTAAAAAAGAATCTTAAAACTGAACTTTTTATAATTCGTTTAAACTGTGAACATGTAGGCATTTTAATTGTTTAAAACTGTTGTTTTATACGTTATATGTATTTTAATTATAAAGAGAGAGAGAGAGAGAGAGAGAGAGAGAGAGAGAGAGGGGGGTAACGTCCACTCGACACAAACTAGGTCATTTCGGGACTAACATATGGTCCAATTTTATTTCCATAATTCGCTTGCGCGTAGTGGTCTTTAGCAGTGGGAGGAAACCGGATGACCCGGAGAAAACCCACGAGGTTGGACAGGCGACCCTACTCCTTGTCACGTACAACCGGGGAATCGAAACCACGCCATTTGACTCAATGACAGACTTTATGATACAGCGGGCATAATTATAAAGAGCTCCATTGGAGCAGCCTATTATTCTGAATGCTCATAGCTATACACAACACACATTTTCTATATTAATTTAATTGACTATAAATTTCCTCATGTATTGTGTATGTATGTATGTTGATTTGTGATTAAAGATGCATTCCTGCGGCAGTTAAAACCAATACTGTGTTCCCTAAAAAACACCCATTGGTCGCGCGCAGAACAAAAATGTTGAGGTATCACCCACTAGAAACCTGTCGGCTTGCTGCAGGGAGCGCTTGGTATTGTGATGATGGAATGGTAAACGCGATAAAAACGGCGAGGATAATCCAAGAGTTGTAAATGGTGAGCGAGTAATTACAAACACAGGCTAAATTGGACCGTCCCTTCATAATTAAATGCTGCTTAAAATAAATTTTTACAGCTTGGTGTACTTCCTTGCGATTAAAATGATTGTTTTGAAAGAGATTTGAAGCAAACTTTCGATAGAATTATGTTGTTGTTAGTTAATTGTATTTTATGTCCGCTTCCACCGAAGTGATATCGCAGACAAAGTTTGAATTATGTTTTAGTCCCAATTTTTATCATGAAATCACACAGTTTGTAGGCGAGAAGGCATCTTTAAACTGTGCGATGTTTTTAGAACAGGGAGAGAGAGAGAGAGAAATGGGGTTTAACGTCCACTCGACACAAACTAGGTCATTTCGGGACAAACATATGGTTCAATTTTATTTCAATAATTCGCTTGCGCGTAGGGGTCTTTAGCAGTGGGAGGAAGCCGGAGGACCCGGAGAAAACAAACGAGGTTGGACAGGCGACCCTACTCCTTGTCACGTACAACCGGGGTTTCGAAACTACGCCAGTTGACTCAATGACAGGCCTTATGATACAGCGCGCACGTGGTAACCATTCGGCCATCCACCCCCCCTAGAAATGAGAGAGGTAAATTCTGAAGAATAAATACAATGTGAGTTGTGTTTCTCAGTGGACAATTATATGGGTTTATTTCGGCTTTAAGAGACATATATATTTGTTAGTTCACGCCAAAGGACTCACTTTTATAGTTGTGACACTGCCCTTTTTCTCTTTTTGAGCTTTGTTGAAATCCATTGATTTGGAATACGTATAAAATAGAATAAAATTATTGACAAAGACAGGAATGGTAACAGCGAGAAGAAGAACTCCTGAAATCGCGGCCAGACTTCCAACAATTTTCCCCAAAAATGTAATTGGTACCATGTCGCCATATCCAACAGTTGTCATGGTGATAACAACCCACCACATAGCATCAGGTATACTTTTCATGTTGTCACGTTCACAATAATAAACCACTACCGAAAACAATGCAACGCACAGTGCCAAGTACATTGTCAACAATGCCAGTTCTTTAGTGGACATTTTAATGGTGTAAACCAATACACGGAAACCCATGACGTCTTTCACAATTCTGAAAAAGCGGAACACACGAGCTATTTGCAGGAATCCAATGAAGTCGAACAATGAAATGCTGTAACGTTCACTTGGTTGCAGGTGATCTACGGTCAGTTTAACATACATGGTTATCAGGGCTATAATATCACAAATATTCACAGCGTCTTTAAAATAGAGACGTTTATTCGGACATGTAGCAATTCTGAGAATAAATTCCAATAAGAAGAAAGCCATAGCAACGTATTCCATGTACGTTAGGAAGTCCAGTCGTGCATGAACACCATTTAAAGTTTCGGATTCGTTTTCTGATTCTTCTTCTTTCGACGGAGGGGGCGCTGGGAGTTGGTCGGAACCAGTGTTCGATGAGTTTTGGTCGGAACCAGTAGTCGGTTGGGGTTGGCCGGAACGATCAGGAATGCTGGGGTCCCGGAGGTTCCGTCTCTCTCGTCGTTGTAGTGGTGGCCGAACCATTCCATCGGGTGGTGGCCGGCCGAATTTAAACTTATATAGCCCACTGAATTCTTCATCGTTCAACTCTCTCATACAATACGGGTGTGTGCTCGCCGCCATTACAAAGAGGGATACCAAGACAAATATTACCGACACAACCAAATAAATCTGTAATGATATTTAAAAAAACACACAATTAGAACAAGTTTGACGGGAAAGGTAACATACACTCACCATCAATCTATGACCTACGATCTGTGAATAAATATTATCTGTGACGTAGTTGAGGGAGGCTGTGGTTGGTTTTCGTCGGGAAATTAACATGGCTTTCAGAACAATAGAAAAACGAATTATGCAAGATTTTCATAAAGAGCTGATAGTTCTTACTATAAAAGTTAAAAATAGATATGAAAAGAGAATATGTTGAGAATTTCAGTCAAATTACGGTCTTTTGAAGAAGAGTATAGTCTCGATTACCATTGCTACCGTTATTACGATAATAAACAAAGTCTCGATTATCAACTTTTAATTAAATTATTAACTGGCAATCGTGTTTAAATCCGTTGAAAATGAAAACCATACAATAGTCCGGAGAGTTGATTATGGTCTTTGCATGTGAATAAATATCTCATTAATGATTTACATCAAATTTGAGGCCAAACGAAAGATCTGCATTTAAGACAGATTTAGTTTTTACATAATGCATCTTTAAGCTTGTGCGCAATAATTTTAGATAAACGAAAAGTCAGACAGAATGCACCCCGGTTATAGTTCGATGTTAATTTGATTCCGTTTTAATTGTATGTATAAAGAGGGAGGGAGAAAGAAATGGGGTTTAACGACACACACTAGGTCATTTCGGGCCTAACGCATGGTTTAATTTTATTTCAATAATTCGCTTGCGCGTAGGGGTCTTTTGCAGTGGGGGGAAACCGGAGGACCTGGTGAAAGCCCACGAGGTTGGACAGGCGACCCTACTCCTTGTCACGTACAACCGGGGAATCGAAACCACGCTAGTTGACTCAATTACAAACTTTATGATACAGCGCGCACACGCTAACCATTCAGCCATCCAACCGCCCTTTTATGTATAAACTACATTAAACCGTGAAATGTTATGGGGATAGCGTCCTACCTGTGGACTAACTGAGCTAGTGAAAATGGCACACACGCCATGCCGTTTGCTCCGAGGGTGATTTGCTGTACGTCGAATTCCAACAGGTAATGGTCCTTCTGCGCGCCAGGCATACCGTCCAAAACCACCGACAAGGGGAAACCACTCTTAAAAATCCCAAGGAACTTTCTCGGCTAAGTAAGTGGATTGAATGGGGAATTCGGTGTTTATGAAAAGATACATTATGGGAGATAAGATAAAGAGATGGTAGTTCTCGCTATAATTGTTAAAAACTACATAGTGTAATGGTAATTTGCTGAAAATTTCAGTCAAATTGATCCACTATGAGCCGAGAAATTTTCGCATAGTCTCGGTCATCATTACTAAAATCATTACTATAAACAGCATAGTCTCGATTATCCACTGTTTTGATTTAATTATCAATGGCCGTTAAGCGGCATATAGGAATCTAATCCGGCCAACATCGATGGCTAGCCTTGACATCGAGAGTTTATTATGGTCTGGATAAGTTAATTAATGTCTAATTGATAATTTAGATAACATTTCAGGCCTGCAGGCCTAAAGAAAGACTTGTAATAAGCAGATTTTGCTCTTGCATAATGCATGTTTAAATAAAATGAAATAGGAAAGTATTAACACAACTTTTTGAAAATTAGGACCCGGTGGGTTGTTTTACTCTATGGACACCCAGTAACGACCGATACTTTCACTGCGACGTAATAATACGGCCTTTGCAAGTCACATAATGGGCTTTAATACAGTAATTCGGTGATTATAACAAGACATAAAGTCATTTCCTATTTCCCCAGGCGAGTGTTGCAGTGAAAGCGGTGTAACGGCACATATTATTTATATAAGGGACCTGTCCGTCAACCCGGGATACATTCTTTTGAAAGGGGCTGTAATAATCCTGACGGCTGCTCTGGATTTTATGAGTTCCTTGCCACCTGACTACTTTGGCCCCGAAACGTTTTAAACGACGCAATAGAATTTGGATAAAATTGAATGAATTTAACTAAAACTTGTGAAAAACATATATGCTACTGTTAATTTTATTCCTGACACAGTAACCTATAAAGCGACCATTTCTCGTTCATTAGGTCACAGTTAATGTCGACACAAATACGTGTTACAAACAAGTGTTACAGATTTGAATCACCTAGGTATACTCAAACCGGTGTCCAATTTTGGTGACAAACTGTAGCCAACGGATTGACTATTATGGTGCCACAACGGTTTGCCCCGATTTACTAAGATGTAACCACGAAAGTTCACGGTACATCCCTGTATCACTACGGTATCAACACGCATAGGCGTACGAGCTCCCCCCAGCCCCCCCCCCCCCCATTTTGGGCACCAAATGCTGGGAAAATTTGGGCACACAGCTGTTTAAAAAAATATTGTGTTCTTGAATGTGTCCAATTTAACAGCAAATTTATTATCATTATGTAACATACTAAGAACCTAACTACATTTTTTGGGCACCAACCACCACCGCCCCCCCCCCCCCCCCAGTCAAAAATTACCCCGTACGCCTATGTCAACACGGTATATTAAGGCTTGACTTCGGGTTTTCCTGTTTTATCCTGGTCGACCATGGTCGTCCCCGGTATCGCCACAGTTCGTCAGGTTGTGGATAGATAAAGTCCAATCACCATTTCCCGGTATTTGGCTTAGGGGGCGATACGGTGAGCATAGCGAAACCGGGGTTGCTATAATACGATGGGTTTAAAATGACGCGCTTTTGATCCCAAACTTGTTGATAAAGATATATACATTTTTTGTACGTGAGAAGGAGTAGTCGCCTATCCAATCTCCGGTTTCCACCCTCTGCTAAAGACGCTTACGTGCTTGCCAATTATTGAAATAGAATTATACCATATTTAAGTCCCCAAATAGCCTGGTTTGTGTCAGTCTGCTGATTAAAACACAGATCTTATTTCGTTTCGATTTTTATAGTTCAACATTTCGTTTTACTTGTCTTTACTACACTAGGATCTGGAAATGTTGTTATATAACCCGCGTTATGGGTGGTGTGAGGGATTAGCCTATGAAACGGTCTGTTACGGCGAGTTTTTGGCAGGAGGCACACGGAACTGTGCGTAACCCACTAGAAACATCAACGCTGATTGATTAATCAAATGTTTGATGTCATAGGATCAAAGCCGCTCGTATGACCCCTGACGCGACCTTCCACTACAACCGGTCATGTAGTATTTTAATCAGATTGTGTTTGTGTCGAGTAGACGTTAAATCATGTTTCTGTATTTCTGGTTTGTTTCAGTGTGGATGTCATCATAAGTAAGAATATATCAATAAATCTGGTATACTAGAAGAGCACCACTGGTATCCATAGTGAAACCTACTTATTGGCTGAAATTTCAACATCGAATTCCACAAAGACGTCTATGTTGAATTCTAACAATTTTTTTTTTACGTCAATTAAATTATAATATAAAAGCTGTAGTACCATGGGTCGTCTGTCAGGCGTGGAGAGCGGACAACACCCTAAAACCGGTCGCCACATCCGGCGTATAACCCATGCATCGTTTCTTACTACATATTTTGGAACAACCCTTGATCGTCAACTGACTCTGGTTATATTTGCTTCGTATTCTCTTCTTAGGACTCCACTTTATTCTGCCACTTATGCAGTTTATGGTTACACACAGGAACAGCAATACCACATTTCGTTTCTACATTTTATATTAAGCACTGCTACATATAGCTTACACAGTTACAAGCATGAATTATAACAAAGTCATTACCTACTCGCACGACCCCACCATTCAGTAGAAAGAAGGAGTTTAATGACGGACCCCAATAATTCATATCGTCGGTGAAGTGTCAAAAAGGTGTATCTAAGGATTTCTAAACATTAGGAAATACAACTTTTTGCATTTCAAAATTTCCACAAATCAAGATACAAAATTTGGACACATGATACCCAGAACAGCTCTAATTGGCGTAGAGATACACAGCTTAGATAGAAATGTGCATATTAATTGGGAGAGTTTAAAAATGCAAAAAAGTGTATTTGACTAATTTCCCGAGATACACCCTTTTGACACTTCACCGACGATATGGCTCTCATACGACTTAACGGGGTATTCTGAAATCAGATGATGTCCCTTGAACCTCAACGGTCTCTACTCTTTTAGAATCTGTCTGGTGTCAAACCTAGAACGGGGATCACGGTGGCTAAGTGGGCAAGACGCTGGCTCGCTAACCCGGAGGTCGGGTGTTCGATCCCTGCATTGACCGAGAAAGTTCATCCAGATTTTCCGGCGTGGTTCTCCCTTGTTAGTGATGCAGGACGGGGGACTAACAAGGAGAGATGTCTAGTTGTTCGGATGGCACGAAAACCGAGGTGCATGTAAAAGATCCCTTGACAGTTGGACTTTCCTTCATAGCACTCTGTCTGGCGTATGCCCGTCTTCATTAGCCCAGTTTGGAGCAGAAAAGTAGGACGTTAAACCAATTTCATTTCATTTTATTTCTAACCTAGAACGCACATTCTATTAAACATACATTTATTTAGGCTTCAGATGTTATAGAAATTTTTAATTACACCTTTATTTACACGACAAGCTTGAAATCAACTCTGTAGACCACGGATGACTTGGATATTGCCTCGTCCATTTAAAATTAAATCAATAAATGGCGGACCAAGCTAACGTTTACCGTTACTCGCTGATGTCACAACCGGAAACTGGTGATGAAAAGCCTGCCAAGCGAGGCTACCATAGCCATTGGGCATGTTACTTGATAATCGAGAATATGTGGGGGGAGTTATAGTTTGTCAATCAAACGATCGCCAATTCTCATAGACGGTGAAGACGCAATTGATGCCTATTTCTAGTTCAAACTTCTAACAGTGACAATTCCGTTCAGAACAAAGTAATTTGACTGAAATTTTCAACATTTTCTTTTTTTATCATCTATTTTGAATTATTATAGAAAAAATGGCCAACTCTTTATAAAACTCTTAACTAATGTATCTTTAATTAAATATTCTCAGATTCACAGCCAATAATTATTCTATTGGCTAATTATGATTTAATTTATCATGGAACATTTATCACGTGCTTTTAGAAATAGAATCTATCCTTTTCCTGTTATTCTCGCACTATTTCATAAACAGTTTTATTTGTGTTTTAAATAAACCCATATCATAGCTAATATACTGATAATGGAGAATACAAATAAAACATATGTATTCATCAAAATAACTCATATCTTCTGGTGCACTTATATTCGTCTAATACAATTTCACATAAATTATCAAACAGTATTACAAAGCCAGTTGTCCTATATTAGTATTTAAAATACAGATGTGACGTCATCCTTTGATGTTGGAGTACCATTATTTCAAATAATCGTACGGGCAATGTGCCAAGCGTAACTTGGTAAAATATTGAACTCGAGTGACGTATTTCATTGCAAAGCACGTGCAAATGTCTGTATTTTAAGTTGTTTAATGGTCTCGAGCTTAAGACATTGCGTAATATATTGTAAAAACATTCGGGCCTCACGGCCCTCATGTTGTTACAATATATTACTTAATGTCTCGCTCTCGACCATTAAACAATACTTAACATCCATTAGTACACGTATGGTATTATCGGCTAAAGAACAGAGATTGAAGTTCCAGACTCTCCTTTAAAATGGTTCTGAGCATATCTAAAAAACAGACAATGTGCAAGATTGGTGACGACAAGCCTATTATGGTCCATGTGATATGTGGTGTGACTCAGGGATCGATTCTAGGCCCTGTAGTGTTTTTTCATCCGACCTTTTAATAAAAACCGTAACACGGAAGATATAACGATATATTATAAATCTCCTTCAATGCGCTAATTATACTTTAATTGATATTGAAAACTGTCAGGACGAAATCAGATTAATTAACCTTTCTGAAAATAAACCCTAAAACAAAACAACATCATAAAAACATCAGGTTTCTTGAAAGGTGTTAATGGAAAATAATGTCATAATTATCACTATGAAATTTATAAATATAGAAATATCCAACTGGTTAGAATACTGGGCCCTTATTCACGAAAACTTAAACTAAGTTACAATCGAAATTTTAATAAATACTGCAATTCGATTGGCTGACCAGTAAAATCAATTTGCATATATCCAATGAAGTTGCAGTATTTCTTAAAATTTCGGTTTTAACTTAGTTTAAGTTTCACATAAACTAGACTATCATAATGCCATATTTTTTTAAAACTTGCCCAAATATCAGTGAATCCAACATACTGTCGCCAGCTAAAAAAAAAAGCCAAAACTCATCATCTGAGCTCATTGGCTCCCAATTCAAAATATTACTCTGCAAGTTCTGCACCCGGCAGTACATATTAAAATCGCAAAAACATCTTTCTCATTCCCTGGTCCCCTCTTACTGAATTCATTACCTTACAACACAAGAACTATTGACCCGTTAAATACATTTAAAGTGAAACTAAAGACATCTCTGATTGAAAAGCGATATAGCAACTTTTGTTTAATTATTAACGCGCCTTTTAGAGGATTCTTATCATGTAGGTTATTGATATTATTATTGACTTTCTATAACAAAAAAAGTAAAGGTTGGAAATAAGTATCAGTATATTAACTGATTTAAGGATATTAAATTCTAACAAGAGTAATGTTAGGGTCAACAGTATCTTTATACTTAAAAACCTATTATAGGAAATCGAGTATTGGTAAAATAGTATTAAGTTCTGGATAGTTTTAGACCTGCTTGAATCAATTGTATTTAACAATATTATCTTGTGAAATGAAATGAAATGGGGTTTAACGTCCTATACTGTTCTGCTCCGAACTGGCTAATGAAGACGGGCATACGCCATACAGTGTGCTATGAGGGAAATTTTGCCCGGACAGCGGCACTACGGACTACTCTTATATCGAATTACAACTGTCAAGGGATCTTTTACGTGCATGCCAATATGTACACGGGACCTCGGTTTTTCGTCACATCCGAACGACTAGACGGCTCTCCTTGTCAATATTATCTTGTATGAACAACAAGCCAGATAATTCATATATATGTCTCAAAAGTTAAACAAGCGGGTGCCATAAAAGACACGCCCACATTTTGCAAGAAATGGACAGAGAACAGGTTAAAAAACGGATTTTCGTACAATCAGGGGACATAATCCAGGATGTTACGGTCCGACATGCATCAATACCAAGAGGAACTGCAAACTCTCACCAATATCAAAAAGAATGTTACTGTCCACAAACAAATGTTAGTCCATACGGACAAAATACTCGTTCGTCCAAATGAAAATATGAGCGTATATAAAAATACGAACACGTTCTTGCCTTCTAGGGCGGGTTGGATCATCGGTTGGTCTAACGCTTGTGCTATAGACCACAATGTCTGTCATTGCGTAGGTGACAAAAATAAGGGTCGCTTCCCAACCTCATGGGTTTTCTCCGGGTCTTCCGGTTTCCTCTCACAACGCGCAGGAAAATCATTGCAAATACAATTGCACCACGTGTTACTCCCGAAATGGCCTGGTTTTGTCTGATTCAGGTGAAATTAAAAATATATGTTCAGTGTCAAACGGTCTTGGGTGGCATCAGACCGCAACATGTTATGGCGCCTGCCTTATACGCAAAATGTCTAAGAAAGTTTGGTGACTCTCGAGTCTGCTGAATTGGGAAATGAGATTATGAAACGAAAAGAAAATACCCCCCCCCCAAAAAAAAAAAATAAAAAAAATAAAATAAAATAAACCCAAAAAAGTACACTATACAAAATTACAAAAGAGTTTAGATTGGGGATGTGGCTTTAGCCCTTTAAGCCGTTTACCTGTTCAGCTAAACTTGTAAAGTTTTTTGGGTTTCGGGGACACTAACCCTGCATAAAGTCTGTATTTAGATATAATACGTACTTAATACTACCCCAAAAATTTCAGCAAGTTCGACAAAAGTTTTCAAAAATTCATTTTCAAATTTCGAGTGACAGGAGCAACAACTCTGCAAACAAATTGATACATGATCCAGAATTTTAACCCCGTCTTTCTTGGAAGTAGCTGAACAATCTCAGCAAGTTTGGGATTTGGTTCTAAAAGGAAAAACATACATCTGACCTGTAGAGTGTTGTGAGTATTGTGAACGGGCGGACGGACGGACATGGGTGTATATAATCGGAGTTAACCCGCATAACATACATTTAAACACACAAGTCTTTCACTTCTATGAACTTATAGTTAAGGGACACTCTCACGTTAGTAAAATGTTTTGTTTGGTTTTTTGTAAAAAGTTTGATTTGACGTGATCGGACTAAATAGCGCATGTATACAAATTTGATTGTATGCAAAATTTGAGAAAAATCTGACAGTCCATCGATGAGATACAATTAAGTTACAATTTACGAGTCGTAAACATCTGTTAGTAGTTTTAAGGAGTGAAAATAAAGCTCAAGCAAAAGCCCTTTCCAATATGATCTTATTTAATTACAAGTGATAGTGCCAATACCCTTTTAAATGAATTATGTCCCCCATCCGTGAACAATTTTTATTTATATTACCTTTGCCCACTTTGAAGAATTAGGGTTTTCCAAAAGGTACCATATTTTCCATTTGAGTGTGTTGCACCCATTCACCATATCTGTATTACTTTGTCCACGCATTAAGTTTTTATTGAATACATTCAACGTCTGCTGATCATCCAAAAACGTGGAAAATCTTCTGTGGCAACATTCTTCCATCTTCTTGTCGCCCAAACCCCAAAATGTAAGCTCTCTTTGGAAAAGGTTCGGACATACATCTTCTGGTAGATGAAGTTCTCCGCGCTGAAAATAATCCAGAATTCCACGAAAAGATGGTGCATGCCTGTCGAAATAATATTCTAACTTATTTTCTTCGGGCAGTTCCAAGAATGCCGACGCCACTATATCCTTGAAAATTTTCGGTTTGATTTCAAAACGACTACCGTTAATGTTCAGAGTTACTAGATTCTCACTCTCAGGAACTCCATTCTTTGTCGACTCCATTATTTTGTAGTTGTTTGTTTGTTTCCAGTTCTTTGTGAATAAACACGTCTGAACGAAGGGGCGTTCACTGGCAATGGATGTGCAAACACGGTTTATCTATGTGACGTATTAATAATACATGAGATAGGATAAAGCCCACAGGAAACACCTTGTGATAATTCCCATGTGAATAGGTATACAGAATTACTTGTATTATTGTCACCGGTATTGCTTACCTTTTTATATGGAAGACCATACGTGTAATCTTTAAATAGCAAAACGATAAAAAGTTGGGTGAACGAATCGCTTACCGTTTTATAAATATTTGTATGGAGGGCGAAACTATTAAAGTCAACTGCGGACAATGTTTTTTTTTTAGAGATAGCTTCCAACTTGTTGGAGTTTTTTATAGATAACTTCTGACAACGCCTCATAAATGCGCAGAATTCGCGTCTTAGTGAAAACTGCGTGTGTAGATCTCACGTCAAGGGGATTGCTACATGAATTGTAACAAACCGTGAAACATCCGTTCTTCAATGCGGATTAGCTATATAGACAACCTATTTCAAGTACAAGAAATCCTATTGGGTATCAAACATCTTCAATAGGAGGCTTGATCTCGCTTTAACTACGTACATCTTATCATGTCCTTCACGTAATACCCTGCATATTTCGGCACTTATTTCGATTGGATACAAGCCCAGCTTGTGAGCCTATCAGATTCCTCGATCGTCGCGAATCCCAAGTCTCGCACTTTCAAGCTAAAATTTCTACCTGTGATAATCGAGTTGCAAAGTTCAAGGTTCATTAAATGTCAAGGTTGTCGTGGAGGTCGCGATGTCTCAACCTCTGATTGGACGCTACTGCTCACGTGTCTATAGATAACATCGCTATAAGTTCGGGAATTGTGAAGTAAACAAGTAACGTCCAGATATCAAACTAGAATGTGTACAGCCTTTAGAAGACTTCGCAATTGTTTGATCTTCCATTCACATTCATCATAATACCCTGAATAATTCTAAAATTTCATCAAAACATCAAATGGTTGAATGGGCTAAATTGTTCTACTAAAACATGCCATTTATCTGGGCTAATATAAATATCCATTGAAATGTACTAAACGTACCTTCTCCGAATCGATATCATTTATCCATCTATTCAATTACATCATTTCAAAGCAAACAGTTCAGAATAAGAATCATTTATAATCGATTAATGCGTGGTATATTTCTCTTTACCTAAATTAATTCAAATATACAGCCGACAGATCAATCAAATATATAACAAAGACAACTACAAATCCGATTGAAATATATATAAAAGCATTTAGTTCGTCGAATTTTCCCTTGCTAAAACAAAAGACTGATACTGAACTGTTAACGAGCCATTTGGTACAGGAAAAGTAAAGGCAAATAGTCGTAGCTAATGGCCGCTAATTTGCAATAGTCTGGAATACAATAATAATCTTCCAGCACTAGAGAAGAGGTGTAATCAAACACCTCATCTGAAATCTACCAATAGATACCACTATCAAACTTAGTACGCCGTCCACATCTGAATAAAACGAACCCTGAATCACGCGCCTGACGTCAAGTATATCGCACTATCTCTAACAACTATGCCAACAAATCCCTATGGACAAGTTTTTAAAACATCGTATAAATCAAACTAAGTTTTCAAATCATCACAGAAAGAATCACTGCCAGAACCTCCGACAGAAGCTTTAAAAGTCAAAATGTGAGCGGACAGATAACGCCGCAATATACAGACCGATTTTTTAAAAAAAAAAATTCGATATCTTCTACCTTATGCCCTAATGAAAAAACGGTTTTTAAATATTTCTGTTCTGTATTCCATTTACAGGGATCCACAAATTTGAGCGTGAAAGCGGAAATAACTGTCGAAAATGTCCATCTTGGTACCCCACTCAGCAATCACGCCAAGTTAATTTTCTCTTATAATACATGCATTTCAAGGAAATTGTTTTAATGCGTCATCTTAGTAATTGGTCACATTAAAGATACATTATGGGAGATTAGATAAAGAGCTGGCAGTTCTCATTTTAATAGTTAAAAACTAGATAATCTAAAGGGAATTTGCTGAAAATTTCAGTCAAATTGATCCACTCTGAACCGAGAATTTAGCGATTGAATTTTGGGCCTAGACTCGATCATTATCACTACTAAAGTCGGTACGATAAGATACATAGTCTCGATTCTCTATTTCTTGATTTAATCATGAATGAGCTTAGTGCGGCAGATCGGACCCTAATCCAGTAAATATCGCAGGCTAGCAATGACATCGAGAGTTGAGTATGGACTGGATATGTTAATTAATGTCTAATTAATAATTTAGATAACATTTCAGGCCTAAAAAAAGACCTGCAATAGGCAGATTTAGCTCTTGCATAATGTATGTTTAATAGTTGGACAGTTATATGTTTGAAATATGCAAATTAAACAGTAGAATAGTAAAAAAAACGATAACGAGAAATAAATTCTGATTTAAAAATTGATGTAATAGGGTGTGAGATGTAGACGCTGGGTCGGATTAAGACCCACTGAGACCCTAGTATAGGTATACAGGGTCGATGACTGTTAAGGGGTGGGGGCATGCTCTTGCATAATGTATGTTTAAAGGAGGCAAACCTTTAACTCAATATCATCCACAGTCTTCGACATTGCAAACACGATGTTGTTATCTTACCGTGAAAAGTTGGGCTTCTGGTGTCCAATATTTAAGACAAAATGAAAATTTTTAAATTGGCACGCAAATTGTGTGTGCCAGAATGCTTTCGAGCGCCAGCTGTATGCGGCGACGCGATGAACGTGGCTAAACATATCCCATGCAGTTCAAAAGCATTCTTTCCTATGTACAATCCCACTTCGGCATCGCATTCACAAATTTTAAAGGGGAGGTAATTCTGAAATGTACAATCGGAAAAATTAGATTTTCTACAGGGTTCGTCACATGATTGGTGTTCCATAGTTGAATGCCTATTTAGTTTATTGTTTTAGATCAAATTTAGTTGATTAAAAAATCAACAAAGGGAATATAGCATGTATTGATTTATTAAAAGGTTGAAATCTTGTATCAATATCCGTTCAATAGATAAAAACATTAAAAACATTAACAGAATCATTCATTCGACGTGTGATTTGCGTGTGCGTAATAGCGGTTGTGTGAAATTTGACACTAGATAATCGTTAAAATGAAATGAAAATGAAATGAAATGGGGTTTAACGTCCCACTGTTATGTTCCGACTTGGCTAATGAAGCTGGACATACGCCATACCATGTGCTCTGTGAGACTTTTCCCCTGACCGCGGCACTATCGCCTAATCTGATTTTGAATTCCCACTGTCAAGGGTTCATTTACGTACATGCCAATGTGTACATCCGAACGACTATCTATACATTATCCTGCACCATTGACAAAGGGGAAATTTTGACCGGACAGCGGCGCCACGGCATACTCTTATATCGAATTCCAAATGACAAGGGATCATTTACGTGCACTCCAATTCGTCCCATCCGAATGACTGGGCAGCTGTCCTTGCCAGACCCTCCGCCCTGCACCACGCCGGAAAATCTCGATGAACTTTCTCGGCCAACACCGGGAGCGAACTCGAGACCTCTAGGCCAAATAGCAAGCGTCTTACTCACTGAGTCGCCGTGGGCCCTGATAATCGTTCAAATTCTGTGAGAAAAACGGTAAACAGCCACGGCCATTCCCTGTAGAGCACAAGGTGCCTCAGCATAAAACATCAGATAGTGTATGTTGCATTTCGGAATAACCTTTTTGTGTTCAAGTAGTTATTGGTGTGACTTTTATTTCTGATCGGTTCTGGAATACCTTCCATTCCAGAATATGATCCGAACCGTCCGTTTATTTCTCACAATGTTTGCGAACAATAACACTATCGATTAGATACATTCTAAAATTTGACCAAATGGTGATTATTCAAGTTTCAAACACATAGCTTGATTTTTTGTTATCATATCATAACGAAACAAATTCAAAGAGGTTGAATCAACGTAATTAAAGTTACCACGATAAAGACAAGAGTCTTCAGCATGCTGATAATAAGAACCGCACAGCACATAAACAAACATAAGTATAGATGAAAACCAGTAGACACGAATAATAAACAGATAATAAACGATAAGAGTGGTTGCCAGACAACTAAATATAAGCCCACAGCCTAGGTAAGTCGTTCGAGAAAGTCCACAAGGGTTTCGATTCCCCGGTTGTATCGTACGTGACAAGGAGTAGGGTCGCCTGTCCAAACTCGTGGGATTTCTCCGGGTCCTCCGATTTCCTCCCACCGCTAAAGACCCTACGCGCAAGCAAATTATTGGAATAAAATTAAACCATGTATTAGTCCTGAAATGACCTAGTCTGTGTCGAGTGGACGTTACACCCCATTTCTTTCTCTCTTGCTAATGAAAGCATATTAGCAAGACAATAAAAACTAATAAAGGATAACAGCCAATTAAGTATTTATCGTTGAGATTTGTTTAGCTTCTCGTTTTGCCCTATCTGTTTAGGAGTAATAGTCCAGGGGCCTGTTTCACGAAATTTTAACTAAGATAAAATCAAAACTTTAGTAATTTGATTAGATAATATTAGATTGATTTTAGTGCTTAGCCAATCAAAATTGAAGTATATACTAAAATTTGGATTTTATCTTTAGTTAAAATTTCGTGAAACAGTCCCCTGACCGTAAAACACAAAGAACTTCGATGAACTATTTTGTAGATGATATATAGGGCTCCTCAATATGGTTAAAATACAGATCTTTATTTCGTTTCGTTTTTTTATACTTTCGATGCCTACACTACATGAAGATCCGACAAGTTGCAGCAATATGTCGAGTCAGAGGACATACGAGCGGATTTTGACCCTATGACGGCAGACACTCGATTAACCAATCAGCATTGATGTTTCTAATGGATTACCCACAGTTCCGTGCAAAACACGCCTAAAACTCGCCTAAAACGAAATTTTGAACTATAAA